GAGACCAGCCTGACCAACATGGTGAAACTCAGTCTCGACTAAATACAAAAAAATTAGCTGGGCATGGGGGCGCATGCCTGTACTCCCAGTTACTCAGGAGGCTGAGGCAGGAGAATTGCTTGAACCTGGGAGGCGGCGGTTGCAGTGAGCCAAGATCGCGCCATTGCACTCCAGCCTGGGCAACAAGAGCAAAAATGTGTCTCAAAAAATAGCGAAAGAAAGAAAGAAATGGCCAGGTGCAGTGGCTTGTGCCTGTAATCCCAGAACTCTGGGAGGCCAAGGTAGGAGGATTGCTTGAGCCCAGAAATTCGAGACCAGCTTGAGCAACATAGTGAGAACCCACCCTCTACACAAAAAATACAAAAATTATCTAAGTGTGGTGGTGCGCACCTGTAGTTCCAGCTACTCAGGAGGCTGAGGCAGGAGGGTCGCCTGAGCCCAGGAGTTCAAGGCTACAGTGAGCTATGATTGCACCACCGCACTTCAGTCTGGGCAACACAAGGAGACCATGTTTCTAAAAAGAAATAAATAAAAGAAAAAGAAAGCCCCTTTGCAGTCCCCAGGACCCCTTCTGCCCAAATGAGGCTGAAGAGCCTCGCCACGGAATGCCAACAGAACCCAGGCAGGGATTACATCTGAGGACTGAGAGCCCCCCTGTCTGTTTGTGTCAGAGCTGGGGATATCAAGGGTGCCCATCCCAAGCCCTTGTCCACCCTTCCTCCATACCAGGTTAGCAGAGGAATCAACAGAGGGGCAAGGGTCAGGAAATGGTTAACCCAGGGAAGAGCAGCAGAAGACATTGATCATAGCCACTCCCTGTTGGGCAATGAGTCCCCTGGTGGCTGCTTTAGCTGACCTCCCTTTGGGACCACAGAGCTGGGGGTCACAGCTCCCAATCCGTCTGGAATTGGGGGTGGGGAGCTCAAGGCAGGACAGGAAAACTGGGGAGGACCCTTGGGCCCTGTATTTTAGGGAGTCAGGAACCAGCAAGGCCCCAGAGACTGGCAACCTTGACAAGACTGGCAGCTGCAGGAACAGGTATGAGAGATCTTGGGCTGTGGAAAACCCCTGGAGAGAACTGGAGCCCAGTCCTAAATTTGCTGTGTGTCTTTAGGGACTTTTCTCACCCTCTCTGTGTTTTAGCTCCTTCCTCTGTAAGACTGTGGAGGAGGCTCAATCAGTACAGCCAAGATTTTTTTAAAGACAGAAATCTATGATGTTGGCTGGGTGCAGTGGCTCACACCTATAATCCCAA